CTTCTCATCAGACGCGCCTACCGGCATTCATCGCTGTCAGACTCCATCATTGTCGTGTCCCATCACTTCATCCGACCAAGTCACAGCAGCCATCACCGTGCCCAGTTCCCTGCTCGCCCTCAGCTTTGTTCTCTTGCCATCGCCACCGCCGGTCAAATCACAGTCGGCCATAGCCATTCAAAGCCGAGTCATCCACGGCCGAACTAGCCGCCACTTCACTGCCGAGCTTCTCCACGCTTGCCGAATATACCAATCCGACCGGCTCCATCAAGCCGCCGTCGCCATCGCCGGTCGCAGATCATCCAAAGCCACAGCCTGTTGCCCACCGCTGCCGTCGCTCCATCTCAGTCGACCGCATCGTTCCGAGCGAAGCCGCAATGGCGTCGAGTTATTTGTACCTTTGATTTTGTTTTCTGTATTTCTGTTGGAGCTTTATCCGTCTCTCTGTTAGCTCCCTAGTTTCTCTGTCTTCTCCGAATTGATTCCTCATCTTGGTTAGACCTCTATGTAGATCTTTGTCTCTGTATCTCTGTATCAGTTGACATCTTTGCTGAATTTGTTGTTAAAAAAAAAAAATAAAAAAAATTAAGAACTACAAATCCAACTTCCTCGCCGGTCCACATCGCCATATCACGGCTAAATCAGCCCGTCGCTCACTGCCGATTCAGTCCACCTTGCTCGCCAGTCCATCCGCCGTTCCTCTCACGGCCGAGCCCTCCATCCGAGGTCACCACCGCTGCATCACCGTGCCATGACCTCAAGCCGCATCATCCGAAGCCGAGCACTTCCTTGCGTCGGCTGTACAGACCCGCCTGGGTCAAAACCGTTAAAGCCGGCCGGCCAATTCTTCACCGCCCTTCCACATCATGACGTCTGTGTTCAGTGGCAGTTCTTACTTCTCGCCATTCCGTCCTCTGTATTGTCGCCAAACCGGCGATCTGTTCTTCTCTGTGCGTCAGTTCTTCTCCAGCGACCTGTTCTTCTCTCTGTAGATCTCCTATGTTCTTCTTTGCACCGGCCTTCTCTTCTCCGCCGGTCTGCACCTTCCTTTTTGGTCTTTGGTTTATGTATTTCTCTATATTGGGTCTGCAGAATTTTTTGTCGGCAGTTTATTCTTTGTTGGAGAGAGAGAAAAGATGAAGCGTGTTTATTAAAGGCACTGTGGGACCACTCCATGCCATTCTTCACCGACAGAATTTAAAAAAAATAAAATAAAATAAAATGATTCCTTATTTGGACTATTCCAAACTCAGTTTTGAGTATCAGCCCACTTCAGTTTCAATTTTTTGGCCCAATTTCAACTTTGGCCCAGTTCAGATATTTGGCTTAGTGAAGCCTTGGCCCGGTTAAGCTTTGGCCTAGATCAGTTTTGGCCTTGTTCGTTTTAGCTTCCGGCCCAGTTCAGTATTCAGCTTCGGCTTAGATCAGTATTTGGCCCACTTCATTTCAACGTTGGCCCAATTTCAGATTCAAGTTCTAAGTGCTACTGATATCCCTCTAGAACTTGAGGGGGCGTATTCCGACCAGTTCCAGTTTTCGGAGTACAGCCCGCCTAGTTTCTCCGCATTGATCTGGCCCTCTCATGCGCTTCCAAGCGCCCTGTCATCGACATTTCTATCACGCGCTTCCAAGTGCTCTGTCATGTGCTTCTAAGCACTCTCAACGTGCTCCCAAGCACCTCAAGTGGTTATACCACTCTATCAAGCGGTAATCCCGCTCTGTCATACGCATCTATGCGTCGTGCTCCCAAGCACCTCAAGTGGTAAATCCACTCTACATTTCCATTCTAATATTTGCTTTCAAGAGCTCTCTCAAGGCTACCACACTTGCCGTAAGTGGTCTATCATGTACTTCTAAGCACCTCAACGTATCGGATCTTCACAACTCCGGTACTGTCTTCCGCTCCAGATTTTCTCTCCAAACTTAAGTTGGTTTCTGCTCTACCAACTTGAGTTTGAAGGGGGGTGTTAACATAATTAGATTATATTATATGCTACCATAATTACATTATATTATAGCCGTTGTAATAGTGATTTACTAGCCGTTTGATGTTAGTCTATTTATACCTGCTTTGTATCATTATCATATATATCAATTCTATATACATCAATTCAATATATTCTTCATAATATCTCTCTCTCTCTCTCTCCCCCCTTCTATCTCTGATAAGCAACAATAACCACAACACCCGACATTAGCTTGCCATTAGAACCATAAAAAATGTTTGATGTGATGACGGAATTGCCCTTCCCCAACTCCTCTTGACTGAAAAGGCGTTATAGCCTTTTGAGATTCATAAAATTCCAATTATACCCAAATTCTATGGACCAATTTACACACACCCTCTCTAAAGTTCTTTGCAATCTCTCTCTCATTCTCCACTTCCCAAACCAATCCTCCACAGTAACTCCCTCAAGATCATTATTTTCCTCCTCACCTTCTCTCTCCTCCCACCTCACCATGATTGAGCTGAAGCAAGGAATCCTCACTTCTCTCTCTCAACTTTCGGACAAAGATACCAACCCTCTGAGGACTGCCAACATCTGGTAATACTAGTCGAGATGGCATTGGTTTAATTTGTCAAAAGACCATCTTCATGACGCATGGAAACTCAATGCACTTAATAGATTCCCAATTCTGAATACAAAGAGATGGAACAATGGGCCATATCCCTCCATCCTATCGCAAACCTATAGACAGGAAAATTCTTTTAGGCCATCTTCAGCAAGGCCTTCCATTAATCCTAACACGCAAAATTGAGGTACTAGCATTGTTAGTGTCTTTGGCATTTTGGCTCTCAAGTATTCTATAACCCCATAATGTTGAACCAAACTCAGCCTATGTGCCTTGACATGCCAGGCAATTGTGCCACAGCAGAGAGACAAATCATACCATTCCCAATTGTTGAAAGCAAGGCAATTCTTTTATGTGTATCAATAAGTTCTGATCTAACAGTGATTGCAATCAATTTAAAAAGAATTCACACAATTGATTATGCTACGATTATTCAAAATCTTACCCTGAAAAACCTGCCTGACATTTTTTAGGGTTCCAGATGGAGGCTATGAAGTTCTTGATTGAGAGAGATTGTGTGGTTGACTTTCACAGCATGAATTGGGCACTTTGAAATGAAGGTTTGGGAAGGGAAAAAAGAAGGGTACTCTGAGCATGTGTGGAGTAGCTTTAAGTGACCTGACTAGTCGGATGTTCTCGTAATCTCATCAGCGGCACAACGGAATTTGAGAGATTTTCAAAGGTGGTGATGGTGAAGGGATCGATGGGGATGCTTTGATGGGAAAAAGTTCTTAATATATAAGGCGTAATTTAGCCTACAAGATATTTATATATATATATATATATATATATATATATATATATAAACTATAAAGTCAACGGTACAAATGACATTTTCGCCTGATGGTAGACGTTCGAAGTTAGCTAACATAAAAAAGGGAGGTCAACGTAATTATGGCCATTCTCGAACATCATGGGTAAACCTCAGGAAGTGTGAGTGTAACATACCCTTCTTATTTTAAATGATAAATGGGGTCAAGGAACTTTATAACTCAAAGAAGTTTAAAGCATTGAGCAGCGATAACAAAAAAAACTTTACCTCTTTCTCCACATCAAATGTTGACAACATAAACAAAATTTGCATACTCTCACTCAAAGAACACCATTACTCAATTCTTTATAGTCATTGATGGAATATGACCCAAAAATACAACCATTTCCATATGGCCTGTGTCATTTTTGGTCAGTGCTGGAGGAATTCGACTGCATGATAATTAAGAATCAAGAACTTATTACATTTTGAAGGGTTGTACTCTATAATCATTGTTGGGCTGCGTAGTCAAGATGTAATTTAGACAGACAGTAAGCATTTTTGCTATGTATAAATATGCTCTTCAAGAGGGGTTATTTAGAATATTGGAAAACCACTACTCTTGAGGTTTTAAGAAGCTCGGGGGTGAAAGGGGTGTTCAATATACATAGAGCAAGATATTCAGGAATCAGGATTTACATATAGGAACTACCTTTGAAGAGCAGAAGTGTATCAACTATCCAGCAATCCACTAGTTTTTGCAAAAACTTCAGATTTGTTGTTTGCACCTCTAAAGATAGAGCGTATCATAAAGGATGAATTATCTTCCTAATTACTCAAACTCCGTATTTTCTGTAATAGTGTGTGCAAGCACGCACAACTGTGCATGCTTCTAACCACAAAAAGGAAGAGGGAAGGCGGGTTTATGTCACACTCTTGAATAACATAAAATTTCTTGCTTTTTTGGTGTACGATGTGTCCAGCTTTGTCATTTATTAACATTTTTTCATTCATTTAAATTTAAGTAGTACTGCCTATTCTAATGCATCATTTGATAAAAACTTCATGAGAACTATTCTAAAGCATGGAAAGCGTTAGGATTAAAGCATAGTATTGATAAATTTTGTAACAAAAGCCGAATCTGTCCTTCCAGTCCAAAGGATATGGTTCTTAGGTGTAATCAGAATAGGAAAAAAAAAAATTTTATGATTCTGATTTAGAGAAGTTTCCATCAATGCCATATGGCCTATAAACGAACGAAATATCAAAGGGTCATTCAATCGAGTCCTGACCAGAAGCTTTAAAAAAAAAAGGTAAAGAAGTTATGGTTTACATTATGTAGATGCCATGTGGCCTATAAATGAACAAAATATCAATAAATTACAAATATAAGATACTACTACACAACAGATAAACTAGGTGGATGACCACCCATCAAAAGTGACGATCTCTCCTTTCTTCATATTTATGTTACAGTTCTCTGGAGTCATAATACAATCCTGGTCTCATTCGGTAATATGTATATGCACACAAGCACATTACTTTTAAAAAAAATGTGTAAGCAAGTAGACTATGAGGAAGACAAATCATATATGGATAATGAAAAGGCTTGAATGGTTCAAACATTGAGGAAGATATTATTTTTACGGGCGATGGAAATTGAAGAAAGTTATACCTGAAATAGCTGGAGTGAGAATACCATCTCCAATCACCATGCAAGTGCCAACAAGGACAAGTATAAGAAGACCATTCTTCCTATATGGACGTCTCTCCAACCATCTCTTGGTTTTCGCAGCAAAAGAATTCTCATGGAATGTGCTCCGACTATATGTTGTCAATTCCTCATCAGTTCGATGCTGGTTAGGAATTGTTTTTATTTTTGCATGGCGACACAGCAATGAATAAAGAGCAAAGGTTCCACCTGCATAATGATGAAGATAAGTATGACAGTGCATGCAAAGCATGAAAAAAAAAAAAAAAAAAGGAAATTCATGGGCTACTTGGGACCACCTGTAATCAAGTTCTCAGTTCAACCAAGTGTTATTTTGTGTTAATTTTGGAACGATTACTGGTGTAGTTTATATAGGATTCATAGGATTTAGGTAAAAGGGGTAGTTTGGTCATTTTCAATATTTGATCAACATGGACAGTAATAGTGGTCGTTCGGTCTGATTTCAGAGTTATTTCATTGGGTCACTATATGGAATCCTTAGCAGGTTATGAATAGTTTTAGTTCAAGTTCTCTGTTCTGGAGTTCTCCTACAATAAACATAGGAGAAATCCAGTGGTATTTAAATATTTATTCAATTTACAATTTACTAAAATCATGAGAACTGTTGGGTTTGAGGCTCAAAATTCGTGTGCAGAAAATTATTTTCCATTTTCGTTTTGGAAGGTTGAAATTTGCAGAAGAAATTGTATCCCATTATGTTTCTATTTTAGAGTTTTGATCATTATGGTAACTCCTTGTAGGCAAGTTGGGGAATACTTGTCCAGCAAGGAATTGGGTTTGAAGACTCTATAAATAGATATGGGTATGAGAGGTTTAGAGAGAGAGAGCAAAGATAAAAGATGTAAGGGGTTTAAAGGTAAGTGTTGTGAGGGGAGAAGTGAGTATATGTAATTCCCGTGTATACATGTAGCCTCATAAGAGATGATGAGTAAGTGAGTGGAGTTTTGACATGTGGTTGTATATTCTCTTCCTTGATTCATAATAGTGAAATCTCTCTCCCCCATGGACGTAACCCTAGAGTTGGGTGAACCATGTAAAATATTGTGTTGTGCGTGGATGTGTGTGATTGTTATCTCCATATATGCTTGTGTTGATGTGATGTGATGATGCTTCCGCTGTGTGTGATGAAAGAGTGATTTAACTCTTAACAACAACCGACCGTTGAGTGAGTTGGAAGGAGTTAATTATCCCCAACAACTGGTTCAGAGCCAGTGATTGGTTCTGAAGATCAGTGCAGAAGATTGTTGCGAAGTTTGTCAGTGCAGAAGATGATCGTGAGGTGCTATGGAGATTCAATCAAGAGTTGATGATGACACGAGGTATGTTGATGGTGTGAAGCCCATGAGGAATGAGTCTTGGAACAAGCTAGAGGATGCTCGTTTTCAAGATGGGGCAAAGGTGATAAAGATGAAGCCCACGAGGAACAAGTTTTGGGGACAAGCCAAGAGTGAGTGCTAGTTCTCAAGATGGGGCAAGGGGTGTGAAGAATGAAGGGGTTTGCTCTAAGCCCGATAAAAAGCAAGGGGGGAATATGAAAAGCGAAGAGGAGAGGTTTGTTGCTTTGACAATGCTTTTGCGGGCTTTGCCAAAGAAAAATTTGGAGACCACTGCAACCTCTCTAGAGAACTAAGAATATTGCTAACTCAAAAACTAGAATCCTCTAATTCTTGTTTGACTTCAATTTTAATGCCTTATATTGTTGAAGCAAATAAAAAAGATGAAACATTTAGCATCAAGTAGACAGAAGATTAAATTGTTGTGGTACATCAAGACTCAAGAGACGTGCTTTAGTACCTGCTCGAACAGCTGTTGGGACAATAAGAAGCACCAGTTTGATTTGGGGGAAGAAATAAAAGTATAAATCTAAAATTCAAGGAAGCCAAAGCAAATGATAAGAACACAATTGGATTTTATGATTCTGACCAATCCAAGGATGTCCTCGTTCCGCAAACTATTGAAAACGTGAGAGAATAGATGATCTTCTTAATATTATTTGTTATGATTATGAGTCATGTGTCGGCAAATTCCTACTCAAACTTGTGATGTAGTGCATGTCAAAGTATCATGAATCGTTCATATACAACCACAGAAGAAATTAGAGATCAGCTAAGAACACAAAGCAAATTTCACAGGACTCAGTCACATATCTAATGTAAAAGTGAATGAGACCTTACTTGACTTAGATTTGATCACTGATTGGCTCAAAATAGTGTTTTGAACTTGTTTTTCGAAATTAGGTTTCAAATTAAAATTTCTCAATGACTTTCGAAATTGGGATTTTTCAGAAAACAACCAATGGCCAATCAATTGAGGGAACTTCGGTATGCTTCTGGTTAGGCATTGAGTCTGTTACAATGGGTTAGTTCTAATATTTATCGGATGTTTTAAAGCCGTGACGGAGAACGCAAAGCGACAATATTTTTGACTATGGTGATGGGTCCTAACATGATTGATCGAAAGTGAAAACTTTTTTATTTCCTAGTTGGTACTCAAAACACCCCCCCAACCCCCCCACACACACACACATGGAATTGTTTATTCTACTTACTATACCACATAGGTCTCCTATATTGGCAACAAATATGGGGTTACAGCCTGTCTAGAGAGGGGAATTAAGTCTCTAAGCAATCTAGAGAGAGAATTTATATTTTAAAGAGGGAAAACCTTGTTTCTCAACCTAGGGTTTTTCTATAGTTTGACCATCTTATGTGATTGAGAAATCAAAGCAAAGAGATCATCAGATACATCACACAGAGCAATTCAGCACGATGAAAGTTTGAGGAGGAGGATTGAACAAACCATGGGAAGCAGATTGCCCGAGCTGATCTCAACGGAGAAAACAACCTCAAGACTCAAGCAGAGAGTTTGGTGTGTCAATATCAAGAGGTAACTAGGAGATTCTGGAGTGGGAATCTGGTAACCTGGTTGTAAAACAACTTTCTCATAGTGGATTGTTCATGGTTGGATGAGGTCCTGTGGTTTTTTCGAGGTTAAGCCAAAAAATTTGATTTAGCACATTTTTACACTTATCCTCAATATTTAGTACCTTAGAAAGAGTCATTTTTCACTCTGCTAACAAAACACTCCAATCACAATATGCAACCAAATCATACAGCTTGCAAACTAAGAATAACCCAGCATTTTTTATTTTTATTTTTGGGTATATTTGGGTCCAGCATATTATTTAAATTAAAAATGCTACCTAGTACCAATTCCATTAAATATCTTCCATTAGTTAGCTACTATTTGAGGAATAAAATTAGAATCTTTAAACAGTAAGACAGCGCCTATATTTGGAGGCTTTTTTTTCCCACCATTTTTGGGGCGGGGAGTGGCTTTATATCTTTAACTATAATAGCTTTACTACTTTCTACTCCAACCCATTTGGAGTTTCTCTTTTCTTTACCTTATTATTTTTTATTATTTGACTCCATAGTATGATTCCATCATGCAGTAGCAGTACTTCTATCTAGCAATCAGATCAGAAAATTTCCATTCAGTATAGAATGGGAGACATGATTGAAGAGACATTTCAGCTTCTATTTTCAGTAACATGCAGAATAAGACTAATATTCTTCTGTATGAAACTGTTACTCACTTACCCCTTCTTTTGGTTGCCAACTGCAATTACTTAGTCAGGGTTCCAACCATTGGCAAGATAAGATATCGTGCTGACTATGAAGGTGCCTGTGCATAGGTCAAATTCTATTAACATACCCACCTCTTGCTTCAGAAATATGCGTGGACCTCCCTGTCATCGGTCAATTTTAACTGAATTTTTGTTCCATTGTAAGGCAATCTAGTTATTCCAAGTAACCGCCCCTTGTTTCAGAAACACGCAAGGACTTCTCTGCTGGTAGCAAACATTGACCAAATGCTTATTCCGGTAAACCCACACCAAAATGGGTAAAGTCCATGGATTATTAAAATATAAATGAACACCACCCATGTATTATAGCCACCTCTCTCTCTCATTCATTCAATACGTCCAAAGACGCATCACCATTTTCTGCCACCCACCATACTCCAACAGCCAGTACTTTGTCCAACCCTCCTTCTCTCCCTATCCATTATCTTTGGAACTCGGTAACTTCCATGGCCACCGCCATTGCCACCTAAGCTCGCCATAAGCCACCATTACCGTAAAATCAATCATCTCCACCAGCATGACTACTTTGGAGAATGCCACCACTAATGGAACACTCAAATCCACCTCCATGTTCATTACCCCATCACCACATTCTCTCTCAAATTATTTTCCTCTCTAAATTTGTTTATCTTTTTCTCTATTTTATTTATCCATTAACTTTTTACTAAAATATTGTTTTCTAAAATTATATAGATTCATACACATATACAAACAAATTACTCATGTTTATACATATTCATACATTTATATTTTTTTAGTTGGAGAAGTGAAATGAAATTACTGAATCCATGATTGATTTAAGGTCTAAATTTTTTGAAAGCGGTCATGTTGCTTTAATGATGGACTTGGTGGAGAACGGGTTGATGATGTGAACACACACATATGCATAACCATTACCACCTGATCTGAAACACACATCATCCCCCAAATTAGTAATTTGAAAAATTCGGCAGAAAGGATTGATAAGCTCTGATGATTGGGTTCAAAGTTCAAACAGATGGAAAGACTCGAGTAAGGGGGCAATAGATGATACCTCTATTTTCGATAGTGATTTTACTAAGGGATGGATTGATGATGGTGGTGTTAGTATGGTTGGCCATACTACCAGAGAACTCATAGATGGATGATACTAATTTTTGGAGGTTTTATCTCTTTTTCTTTCTTTTGGTTACTTTTGGATCGAGGCAAGCTCGTGAGTAGCTTAATTGGAGAAGCTACAGTGCAGGTGGACTTCAAAGAAGTTGGTTTGATGGGAAGATATCTCGCTGATATATGCTTTTCAGATTAATTGTGTGCGCCATGTCCACTAAGTCATCATAAACTGTTTTTAAGGTGGCAGATTGGCAGAATGAATATCAGAACAAACAACTTTCTCATAGGCAGCAAGGAATAAAATCCAGTCAGAAATCTACTTCTCCAAAAACAAGGAAAACTTCACTCTTTTATTAATGGGTGAGCCAGATGACATACCATATAAGCAACCACATCTGCAGATATTATTCAAATTATAAAATGTAGAATTGCATCAATCTAAATGTCACATCGAGTGCTCACAGTGCAGTGCTCTATCCATTCACCAATTTATAATTCAACATTCAGACTTTCGAGAAAGCAAGTTTGTATAATGAGATAAGCTTACCTTGACCACTGTCATTTGCCTTGCACACTATAAAAACATATTTGAGGAGCGGGATTAGAGTAAGGGAGTAGATAATCAATGAAAGAGCTCCAATGACATCCTCTTTATCTTCAATTCCATGAGGAAATGTATTGTAGAACACATACAAGGGAGAAGTTCCCAAGTCTCCATAGACCACTCCAAGACTCTGAAATGCAAGTCGCAGAAGCAGTAGCGCGGAGAATTTCTGCAGGATTGATAAGCAAACAGAACAACAACAGAGTCCCGTCAGATACAATATCCCCATAATCTCCTAATAACCGTTAGGCTTAGCTAGGTATCCACGAAAAGTAGATCTTGGATTTATTTATAGAAAACTCAAAATAATATCAAGTTTGCAAAACAAGGAGAATAGTTCTTTGATTGTAATATAAATCGAAAAACGAAGAGTAAAATCCTAAGGAAATAGGCTGATTGTATTCATCTCACTCATGCCATACCATGCAGTCACTTTCAACCATATGACAAACCTATATTTCAATCGTCACTTATATAAACTAGACTTCAATAAATTTCATAACTACTACAAATCCTTAAATCATTCTTGGGTCAAATGATTCAAAGCAACAAAATCAATCTGGTGCAACCATAATTGAACAAATTAGAACCTTGCAGTAAGAATTCAAGCTTAGATTGAAAAGAGTAGCTTTTAAATCACTTCACCCAGCTGCCTATTATAGCCAAGAACATCAGGGAAATAGCTATTTTGTCCCTCAAAAAGGTAAAAGTGTAGAACTAATTTCTAGTATTTATTGAACAATTCCTTTAAAGCAAAAGTAAGAACTGCAGATAAGTTGACTCAGAGAGATGGAGAGAGAGAGAGAGAGGAATCTTACCTTTTCTTTATACATATTTTTAATTCTTCCAGCCTCCTCATCCATGGGCTGATCAAGCTTCTGATCCAAAACCCACATGCTACCTTTGTTTTCAGTTGATTGGTCATCAATTTCCGCCCCAGGAGAAGCCATTCTAAGCTAATTAAATTGATTCTGCCTTTTCACTACCTTTCTCTCTCTAGATTCAAGTCCACAAATTCATACAAAAATGTTAACCAAAATTCTACAAAAATGAATGAAACCCAATTCCCCTTATTGGATCCTCGCAACAATTCCACGCTCAAATTGAACTAAGAATTGAACCCAACAAGATAATTAAATGTGAAAACCACAACTTAATATACAAGCTTGTAATTGATGCATATAAATTGTATTACCCAGAGAGACTATTGAGGACAGGAGAGCTCAAAAATCTCTCATAAATTGGTAAATAGCAAACCTAGATAGAGATTTGACAATATCATCTGCTGTCATGAAAATTGAAGGTGGGGTCAGCTCAAGGAGCCAATCAATACCAGCCACAAAACCCACAAACCCAACTCAAATTTTCACAAACGCATGAAGCAAAACAGCAGATTCTTCAAAGCAGACAAAATTGAGAGAACTCAACAAAACTCAATCCACAGGAAGTGAAAATGAAAGCAGTGACGGAAAAGCAAAAGTCTTTCTGTGCAGTGTTCTGATGTTTTTCTTTTTTCCCCTGCGCAGAAATAAGTCATCAGAATTGGAGCTCTCTCCGGAGCATTAACGACAAAGCTCACCCCTTCTCTCTCTAGCTTTCTGTCATTATAGAGAGAGAGAGCGGAGAGAGAGGAGAGAGAGAGGGGAGAGAAGGTCGACGTCCTTCATTTCCAATTATTTCCACGCGACACGTTTGTTAGAAATGACGGATCTCAGCAGATAAATATAGTAATGAATGTTTCTGTTTTTCTAAAAATAAGAAAAGTAGAGCAATTTTTTTATTTATTTTTATTTTTATTAGTATTACGGTGCCACTTCCACCATAGATTTCTGCTCACATTATTGAAATTACACTCTGTTAGTGCGACAATTTCTTTTTTACTAATGAGTAATGCTACCGGTAATTGTTTTTTTTATCTGTGGATATAGTATGAAAAGACTGCATGTAATCGTTAGTAAATTATGAAGTATTCCGACAAGTCTGACATCATTTTTTTACAAGAAAAGAAAATTAATAAATGTTACCTGTGTTGAGTTTTTTTCTTTTTTTAGTTTTTTTTACTGTTTGAACATATATTATATACTCCTAAAAAGATACATAAGTATTTTTTTGTGCTACATCAACATATACGGTATGATTTAAAATAGATTCTTCCTTTTTAGAGTGTTATTGTCAATAATTTACATATCAATCAATAACAAAAATTCCTAACTTATATCATCTTTCTTAATTAATTGTTTTTTTGTAATTATGAATTAATTATTTGAAGTTTAAAAATAAATATTTTTAGCCATATTTTTAAGTTACCAAAAATTTAAAATAAATTTAAAAAATAATATAAGTTCTGGTTTTTGTTCGAACTGACTTTGCAAAATTCTAAGAGAACAATGTATTAACGAAGAGTTCTTAATGCACACTGTATATTGGAATTGCACATTGTAGCGTTACTGTTTGAAGGTTTGAAGGTTAAAAGTAAATGTTATTAGTTTCAAAAAATTTACAAAGTTAATAACACTTTTTATGCTTTTTAGATTAACTTTTCAAACAAGGCATAAATTAGAAAATATTACAAAATAAAAGAAAAGAATAAAAATTCTAGGACAAGGGGAGTAATCTCACAATTTCTCCAGATATAGTGGATATTAAATGTGAACATGAGAGAGTGAAAAAAAAATTTTGGAAAGGAGTAAAACTTTTCTCCAGTTTTTTTAATGTTAAAAAAAAAAAAAAAAAAAAAAAGTGGGCAATCTATATGAAAATGAAAGTGTATATTCAAGTATGATTAGACTAACTATATTATATGAACGAAATACTGGGTATTAAAAAAATTATGAACAATACATCTATAAAATAAATATTAATAATTAAAAGATTACGAAGAGGATGCCAGAAAATAAGAAAAAGTATACACTTATTATATTCAACAAGAAATGAAGGGATAAGACATGACTTTAAGATTATAAATTTAATATAATATGCGATCCGATGATAAAAATGATGCAAAGTGAAGATTTATTTAAAAAGTAAAATCATGTGACGGATTCATTTGTACAAATTAAAGGTGAGGACGATAAATATATATATATAAATATATTATTAGTTAATTAAAAAATATTAGCATTATTTTTAAAAATTCTGGATATTTTGCAAACTGGTTTAATTTTATTTGCATTATTTAATTGAGATATTTTACGGATTTTAAATAGCAGATCGCCTTTGGACAGAGTGGAAAAAATAGTAGTACTAGTTGATAACTATGTCATCATGAAATACTATTATTTTTATTTTTTATCATGACACAACAAGAAGCAAGTGGAAAACAAAGCGGACATGATTTGATAACTCTGAAATTAAATGTATTTTTTGGCATAATAAGTGAAAAAAAGGGGCCCACAATGCTGATTGGGGCTCCACTAAGTGATTGGGGCTGTCTCATGACCTCGACTTGAGCCTACCATAAAACGTGTGTCCCTCTCTCTCTGGATTGTTTTTGTCCGAGAAGTCTCCTCTCTCAAGATTCTTGTTGCCTTAGTCACATAAAACGGGATGTGAGGTAGTAAAGAGCAAGAGCAAAACGAGAATGAAAATGAAAACTGGGACAAGAGGAAATTTAAGAACGAGAGCGTAAAAGTGACAGGATTAAATTATAAGAAATAAAAATTTGAGTAAAATTACATTTGAAGCACGAAAACAAAAGCGATTAAAATTTATTAAATTACTCTCAAACACTTTCATTAAATAGGTTGTGAAATATTAAATTTGGTCTTATTATTTAATATTAAATTAAAAATTATAATTATTATTTTAAAATTATCAAAATACTCCTTTTTGATAATATTATTTATTGTTAGATGGTTGTTGTTTCACTAGTGATCGATTAACCCATTTCTAGTTCCTGCTATTATTTTTGTAATCCTGATATAATAATTATAACTTTTAATTTAATATAAAATAGTAAGGTCAAATTTGACATTTCACAACTCATTTAACGGGTCGGTCACAGGTTTAGGGGTAACTTGATAAGTTTTATTTGTTATAATTTTTTTATAATTATGTAAGGGGTTTTATGCATGATTTAAAAAGTAAATGGGGTTTTATGATTTTAACCCAATGTTTTATTGTATTGATAATGACTAAATTACTAAATTTATCCATAGTAAATTTGCAGGAATATAATGATTTACTTCTTATAAGTTCAATGTGAAGGTTAAATTGATAATATTACAAAATAAAATTAGTATTTTAACTTTTCAAGTGGGACATTTATTTTGAAACAACTTAAAAAACAAAAGTGGACAAATTTTTTTTTTTATTTTATAAAAAAGGATGGACTATTTAATTAGACTTGGTAATTCAAAAGATTCCACCGTAGCAGAACATGACAAAGAAATTTTATTTTTAAAGTTAAAAGTTAATAAAACAATGCAAAATATAAATAGTTAATAAATAACGATAAGATGATATCACGTGAAACTCGTACAAATATATATATTAGTTACTTTTTTTAAAACCTGTTTGATAATATTTTAATTTTAAGTGCTAAATTTATTAAGATTATTTGTTATATACAAAAACTGAAGTTTAAAAGTTGTACATATTACATTTTTATCCTCAATATCTAATATTCATAAAAATTTCATATTTATAATACAAAAATATTAATAAAACAACCACATTCACTCAATGAAATAATTAAATATGAAAATTAAAAATATATGAATTTTGTATTACATAAAATTTATGTATGGTATCGAAAATGTGTTACAAATATTAAAGAAAGTAAAATTTAAAATATATGAATTTTGGATTGAGTAATATTTAGGTAAGGTATTGAAAAAGGTGTTACAAAGATTAAAGAAAATACTTGAAAAAAAAATTCTTATTTAAGAATAAAATTCTATTATATAAATAATTGATGAAAATTTTAAATCTATGGGTTTTGGATTACATAATATTTGTGTAGGTATGGTGTCACGAAAATTAAAGAAAGTAAAATTTAAAATATATGTGTTTTGGATTACATAATATTTATGTAGGGTATTAAAAAATGTGTTACAAAAATTAAGGAAAGTGAAAAAGAATTCTTATCTAGGAAGATAATTCTATTATGTATTTTCAGGGTTTCATGGAATTAGTCGAGGTGCGCACAAGTTGGCCCGGACACCCACAATTACCAAAAAATAATAATAATTCTATTATATAAATAATTAATAAAAATTTAAAATATATAGGTTTTGGATATCAAAAGAATGTTACAAAAGATTAAAGAAAGTAAAATTTAAAATATATGGGTTTTGGATTACATGATATTGAAAAGAGTACGAAGAAAGTACGTTAGAGACAATTCTTCTTTGATAATAGAATTCTATTATATAAATAATTACATAATATTTAAGTATGGTATAAAAATTGCGTAGGTATAAAAATGGTGTTAAAAATATTAAAGAAAATACGTGAAATTGAATAGAATTCTGTTATATAAATAATTATTTTCTATAGTGAATCAATATAAATGGTAACCAAAAGGCTATATACATGTTTAAAATATATTAGATAGAGAGAGATCCCAAAAGAGATAACACAATTATATGAAGGTAGAGTAGTCATTAAAAAGTTATTTTTTAAACCCACCCACTTACCGTCTCTTATGGTTAGCCCACCCACTTACCGTCTCTTGTGATAAGTGATAAGTAACATTTTTCATACTTAAAATTTTGGCATCTTTTAAAAGGTACTTACCATGTTAAGTGGTATCCTTCAAATAAACTTATTTTAAAAAATTACTTACCATATTCTGTATTCAACCCTCGATTAGAAAATCAAACAGGCCCTAATTGTCGTGTCCAACATAATTTGGAGAGAGATTTGATAACATTTATAACTACGGACATTCTCTAACTGTATACTGTGATTTTGAAAATAAGAACGTGAGCACTGAGTGTGCAAAGCGACCCTTGTTCTCTTTTTTTGAAAAAAATAAGTTCGATGAATTGTATGTATTGACATTTTAGCTTTTTTATATTTTACCAAGTTTTTTTGAATGGAAGATTGATTTAGTTTCTCTACATGGTTTATCATTTCTCTTATTTATATATATACACACATACACAGATGTACCTAAAGTACCAACTCCAAATTTTTAAATAAAAAGAATAAAATACCAACTCCACAATCTCCAAATGTACCTACTCCACCAATATATATAGCCACACATTGATTTCCAAAAACACTTCCATCCCCACAAATATAGACAACATAATTACAGTTTTGTTTCCCAAATTGGTGTTCCCATTTTGCGTCTTGCTATGAATTTTGTTGTTCCATTTATGGTTGGACTCAATTCACTGTCTCGTCGCGTTCATCATAAATTCGAGGCATTTACTATGCAAACCCTTCTTCATCCACCATTTTTTTTCCAGGGCCATCTGATCTTGTATTCAATCTATTAGGTCCTTGTCCTCCACCATTGGTGCAATAAAAAAAAAAACACTATCACGTGGTTTTGAATAGTAATATGATTAACAAAATCAAATTAATAAAAAATACACATAATTACATATATATATATATAGATATAGATGTATAACACATTAGTGCACTTGTACATCCACCAAACCCCAACCTCACTCTTAGTCACCACACAAAAAATGATCTAAAGTTAAATCACTTTGAAAAGATAGTCAACAAACTTGCCAAAAAAGA